TGGTACATAGCCAAACACTTGAAGAACACCTAGAGCACTTACAGAAGGTCCTAGCCCGATTGCGGGAGCACGAACTATATGCGAAGCTGTCCAAGTGCTCATTTGCCAAAATAACAGATTGACTTCCCGGGACATGTCATCGAGGAAGGGCAGATCAAGATGAAGATTCAGGCTATCATAGATTGGCCACCGCCTAGAATATCCATGCCTTGAGGGTGTTCCTTGGGCTATGAAACTTCTATTCGTGATTTGTGAAAAATTACTGCCTCATTGCAGTTCCATTAACAGAACTCCTCAAGAAGGTCACGCCTTGGGATTGGGGACCCAGGCGAGCGGTGGCCTTCAACTCATTGAAAGCGGCTATGTCTAGTAGCCCTATCTTGGTCCTTCCTGATTTGGCCAAGCCATTCAAGGTACAAACGGATGCCTCCGACTATGCCCTTGGCGGAGTCTTGCTACAAGAAGGGCATCCTGTAGCGTACAAGAGCCGGAAGCTGAAGGATGCAGAGAGGCGTTATGCCTCCCATGAGAAAGAAGTATTGGCTGTCATCCATTACTTACGCTTTTGGAGGCCTATCTGCTGGTAACCCCGTTCATGGTCAAGACAGACGACATAGTTGTTAGCCATTTCATGAACCAGCCGAAGCTGAATGGTCGATAGGCTAAGTGGCATGAACTCCTAGTAGAATTTCACTTCAACCTAGAGTACCAAAGTGGGAAGACTAGCATCAGTGTGCCTACTCGCCACCCTAAGGGGGAGCGAAGTAGCCACCACCATCAAAGACCAGATACAAGATCTACTTATCAAGGATCATATTGCATAGTAGTTGGTTGATTTGGTAGGATAGGGCAAGACTCGCCAGTTCTACATGGAGGATGGTTTCCTGAAAGTGAAAGGGAACCAACTTTATGTTCTAAAAGGAGGAGATCTGCGAAGGACTCTTCTGGCGAAATGTCACGATACTTTGTGGGTCGGCCATCCCGGTGAAAACCGCACCATGACATTACTTTGCCATGCATATTATTGGAATCAAATGGCCGATGAAGTCACTCGGTATGTGAAGACTTGTCTAGTATGCCAGAAGGACAAGCGGGACTCTTGGAACCGCTAGTTATCCCAAAGAGACCTTGGGAAAGTGTTTCCCTAGATTTCATCACCGGATTGCCCAAGGTCGGAGATCTCACAACTATCTTGGTTGTGGTGGATCGATTTTCCAAGTATGCTACCTTTATAGCAGCCCCACATCTCAGCAGAGGATACAACTCGACTCTTCTTCTCTCTTGTCGTCAAATATAAGGGCCTACCTAAAGACATTGTTAGTGATCGCGACTCACGCTTCACTAGAAACCTTTTCGGGAAGACATGGAGGATCCTTCACGGAGCCAACTCCCAGTACCAAGTATTCGAGGCCCCAATTCAACGGGGAAAAGGCATGCTAAAGCAATTGTTGATGATCGAGTGATTCACGCCTCAAGGAAAGATCACCAGGAGTTCTTTGTGAAATGGCAGGGCTGTGATACAGAGGAGAATACTTGGGAGGGGGGAACAGACCTCAAAGCCTACAAGAGCCTAATTGATGATTATCTTACAAGTAGGGCGCCGAGGACGTCGCCAACTCAGGTGGGGGAGAATGTCATGGGCGGCTTTCCATCCATGCACCATGACCCCTTGGACGCGCCCCGTGGCGTCCTAGCAAGCCTCCCAATGCCTAGCACCACGGATGGCCCCGTGATCTTGGCTGCGCCAAGTGACAAGCGCGCATGTGTCTCTGTCGCCCCACCGATATCCCTCTCCAGCGCCCAGCCGCATGCAAATGCCAACAGCGTCGCGCGCGCGCAGACCGTAATGCCAAAGATAAGGTTGCTGACAACGGACCTGTTTCTACCTTGTAGAGAACTAAGTCCTTTTCATTGTAAATATAGAGTAGTTTTATTTCATGTACTTCCATTATTTTCCTCTAGCTTAGTTAGGTCTAGTATTGTAACTTTGGTTTATTTTTTTAAGCACTATTATGGGGGATTAATCAATCAAACTTTCTAGCAAGCAAATAATTCTCTGTACTGGTGCCTCTCCCCCTCGACCCCGTGTTGCTTTTCTGTAATAGCTTTCATTAATGCAATCAAGCTTTCTTACATTCTTAATTCTCATTTGTATTTTCTCAATTGCTCTTGACATTGGTTTTCCCGTACGACACTAACAATCTCGTCTAGTGTACGGAGGGGACCTCAGTTGGCGGATAGTAACTGCATTGACATGAGTTGCTTAGCCTTACGTCGCCCTTCCAAGGAATCTCAGGAAGACGCCGCGTAACATAAATCATGCTTAATAAAATATATTTAATAAAAATTAAAAAAATCAAAGCTCATTAATTTATCAGCCATGCCATACTCATTAATTTAATAAATAAAATACCCACATTTAGCAAAATGACACATCAGATTAATACTTTCAAATAAATAATATTAACAGATAAAACTTTAAAAAACTTAATATTAAACACAAATTCTTTGAAACATTTTTTAAAATTTTTATTGACTATAAATATCATTTATAAAATAAATATCTTTTATTATTTTAAATGTATATTAAAAAATAAATATTTTTTTATCATTTTTATATTTGAAATATGTTCATATTTGAATATGATTAAACAAATTGAGTGTCGTGGAAAAATTAAATATATGGATATATTATAAAAATAATAAATAAAATAATTTAAAATTATTTTAATTATAAGTAAAATACCTAGGTAAAAATATATTATATAGTATATAATATAGAAGGTATTATATATATGAGAGGATTTATAATGTCAAGGACATAATAGGCTTTCAAATAAAAGTATTATAAAATCTGGCCAAGGTAACTTTTGTGATAAATAGAGCAGTGTAAAATAATTTTTGTTCAACAAAAGAAAGAAATGTGACTTTTGGGTAATGAACACAAAGTTAAATGATTTTTACGTAACAAAAAAAGAAAAGTGACTTTTACTTAATTAATAAATAAAAAGTTGAATGACCACCCATGAAATTTACTCTTGTTTTGGCTAAGTTTCAATGAAATTGTACGATTACTTAGAAGTCAATTGTGATAGTTCTTCAACCTCTGGTTTGGGTTATTGACATCTCCAACTAATGAACGATAGCCTTTTGTATGCTACCTTCCATTTGTACAGTTCTTCTTGTAAGAAAGAACTGTTCACGTATATATGGTATTCTGGTGACTTGTTACTGTTGGATGTATCTTTTGCTTTGGAACCTTACTCGGAATAATCTTTGCTGATGGATTCATGAACAGCAAGAATGACAGCATGACTGTGTTAGATTAGTTAGTGTTGATGAGTTAACTTTGAAGAGGAGGAAATTTGTTCCTCATTGAAAAAATAAAGAAAGTAATATAAACACTTCTTTCTCTTACGTGGATTGAATACTTTGAAAGATGTTTTGGAGGAAAACTAGAATTTGACTATATTATTAATAACCAAGATTGGGTACTTGGGCCAGCCAATGAAATAGTTTGAAATTAACATTTTTAGGCACCTATTAATTTTGTTATTTAATAAAAAATGTTTCTAAATTATTAAAACGTTTTAATAGTACTAATTTTGAAAAGGTAACTATTGGTTTTAAAAAGTTACCTATTGGCAAAGGTTGAATCTGTTAATTTTAACATACTCCTAAAGGGATTATAAATACCCCATTCCTCTCCGAATCAAAATACATCACAAAAGGCAACATATTTCTGTCTTCTTCTCTTTATGCTATCTACGGTTCACAAAGTTTGTTCTAGTACAATTGCTGGTACTCTGAATTTTATATGCTTTGTGGAATCCCAAAGGAATTCTGTCATAATCCCTGCAGCAACAAAAGTGGAAGGGCTAAATTCTGCCAAAATTTCACGGTATAGCCAGTTTTCGGACTGGTCAATCAAAAATAGCCAGCGTTTACCAAGTCAATGAAAAATAGCCACCGTTTTGCTGCAATAGAGACCGGTCCAGCATAATATACTGGAGTTCGGTGCACTTGTGTATGAACTCCAGCATATTATGCTGGACCGGTATACTTTGCTGGCTCCAGTATAATATACTGGAGATTGGAGCACTGGTGCTCCAAACTCCAGTATATTATACTGGACCATTATACTTGCTGGAACTCCAGTATATTATGCTGGAGTTCTAGTGTATTTATGCTGGAACTCCATCATATTATGCTGGAGTTCCAGCATACTATCCTGGAACTCCAGTATAATATGCTGGAGTTCAAGTATACTTATGCTGGAACTCCAGCATAATATACTGGAGTATTTTCCGGCTTTTGAACAGTGTTTTCGCTCAAATTTATCTTTACATAAAAAGTGGCTAAATTTCGTTACTTTTGAAATTGGGCTATTTTTGAACGACCAGTTGTAAATCTGGCTATTTTTAAAAATATCCCTTCTTTAAGGGCAGTGAGTACACTATCAAGGCCTAATTATTTTGTCCCCATATTCTGCTATTTTTCTAACAGACAGTATCAAATGCAGAGGCTATTTGCTCTAGTATCCTGATTCCACCACCAAGAATTGTACAAAATATGGTTCTTGTTCTGGCATATTTGCTATTTGTTCTGAATAAAAAGGGGATCTTATTCTATGCTTCTGGTTTTCATGCCCTACACCTACTTGTGGTTAAGTAATGCTGTTTAACGTAGCATGTCTCGTTTAGTGGTAGTCGAATATTTCAGTCGACCATAAAAATACCTGGTACATTGTCGCACTCGCACCTCTTTTTTCCAGAAAAAAAAAACAGAAAATAGAAAGTAAATGGGTTTCCAGAAAGAAAAAAAAAACAGAAAATAGAAAGTAAATGGGTTTCAAAATGAATGCAGTAATTTGACATAATTTGAGTAAAGGTTTTGTGAAGCTGACATCAGGCATAATTTTAGGCTACCAGTGAGCTAACCGAAGATTTCGAATTAAGAAGTTTAATAGGCTAAGGCATATTGCTGATCGGGAATCGGTATGTCGCATTTCCTTTAAGTTGACTAACGCAAGAAAAAGCACGTATGGCACAAACACAAGATCACCATATAGCCCATGTGCTGAAAACATATTACTCTATCTGTCTATCATGTGAAAGCAGGAGATAAAGAAGTCATTATGATGTACAATTTTTCATATAACACGGTTGTTTGGGAAAGGGTGATGGAGATGAAATTTTTTCCCAAGTAGAAGGTTAATGAGTCTAGACCAAGTCAATGAAGATAGATTGGCAAAGAATCTATTTTGATGAATTCTGCAGCTTTGGGAAAATTGGATCAACATAGGCATGATACATTGGATCAGTAAGCCAAAGTTGGGCAATGTAATGATGAGATGAGGCACGCCTATGAACTTCTTCAATAAGCCAGATGCTTGCTTCAGCTTTGCTAGGATGTATGACGGTATCTAATGGAACGTCATCATCGTCAGTACCAAACCTCATTTGATCCCACTGCTTCATGTGGACATTGGTTAGGTAATGCAGGGGTTGCCCATATAACTGCTTAATGGATGCAGCTAATCCCGCCCATGAAGTGAAAGGGATAACAGAGCCACGGTGTGTAGGTATAGGAACCAACTGCATGTACTCCTGGTACATTCTTGCTCTTCTTATCATTGAATCTGTAATTCAGAGCCTGTAAGACTAGTTATACAGATATAATACATGAAATGACTGGTAAACTCACATCTTGCCTGTCTAGAAACTAGTTTGAACTAAGAATTCAACATAAACTATTTAAAACGATTTTCATACTAAAAAGAAAAAGCAAAAGTAACTCCTTCGAGCATTAGTACTATTATCAAAGAGACCTCTCAATTGCTCATTCACATTAGAAAAGATAAACTGAACATAGATTTATGGACGAGATTTTCCTGGGAATCAAACAGAAGCTACTTGTGGCCAGAGATCAGTCAACTTGTACAGATGGATAGGAAGCAAAATAGATATACTTCTTTTCGTCAAGTTTCAATAAGGTTAAAAATTTGACATGGAAGGGTATCTTCTAACCCTTTCACATCTAGTCTTCTCGTTTTTTACTAACCAGATGAGAAATAATCCGTACACCTTTTACTTCCTCTCCACCAGCTCTTCTCCTTTTCATCCCAACCAAATCACATCAATTATTGTTTGGTTATTGTCAGAGTTACTTGATGCAAAGAACCCTTAGTGTCTCATAAACCATTTACCGGAGAAGAAAAAAGGAATACAAGCAAACATCTGGAGTTGTCCAGATGCAGAATTTGCACTTTCATTTTATGAAATCTACTAATTCTACAGTCATTTTTACTTCATTATGATTTCCCAAGGTTGCAGAAAACTTGATTGAAAAAAGAGAAACGTTTTCATCATTTTCAGCTCCAAGACAAATTTAATGCTCCATTTTTCTTAAAGCCCATACAGATCCAAAACCAAGAAAAAGAGGAAACAGGAAGAATCTACGCGCATTGTGCAATTGGAAGCAAAATGATGAGATGAGAGATGGGAAAAGTGGGGAGCTCAGATGTCTTTGTGCACACTCAAAGTGCAGGCTTTCTTGTTGCTGGTGGTTGTGTTCTGGACATAAGCTTGAGAAAAAGGGAGAAAGACACCAGATGGGAGAGGATAAGCTATTAACTCAGTTGAAATGAGCGAGAAGTCCAACTAAGAAGGTGAAATGATTTTCTATTAACTCAGTTTAAGTACTAAGCCTCCTGATCAGTACTTCAACTAGTCTCCGTGTTCCTCGAATGAATCTCACCAAAAATGGAAAGTACTAAGTTGCTCTTTCCAAAATGCTTTGTTTATCAAAACCTATTAGCGTAAATTCTCCTTTTATTCAACAAAAGTGTTCTCCTTCCTTCATTTTCTTTCCTCAAGAAAGAAGAATATTTTATGAATTTATATCTAGAAAGACTTTTCAGTTTAAATGCTTGCTTCTGTAAATGCTAAATACTGGTAGTATTGTCTTCAAGTGGCTACTCTCTATAGCACCCTTGAGAAACCACAATTAATCTGGCTTCAAGGCTAAGAATGAAAAAACAGAAATTTTACTCAACTGATTCATGTCTAAAAGATTATGTATCAAGTTTGATTAGACAAGTTTTATGATGTTTCATTATGACAGTTCCACTTTGCACATTCTTTTTAATAGCCGCTTTTGCACGTTTTGTTATCAAAGCCAATACCATATTTAGGAATGGGAAATGAAATTCTTTACAAAGAATATTATTCAAATCACTTCTATCTGGATGCTCTTAGGTTACATTATCAAACAAGTCGAACTGACAATGTTATCAGATTTTATACGTTAAATTGCATAACGGCTTTGTATAAAAAGTTCATCTGAAGATCCTGTGCGGCTGAACTTGATACGAACCAAGGAACACAACTTACACAAGTACACATCAAGCCTCACGACCTTTCACTAGATCACAAGCAAGAGAACTAATGGACTTAAAAATCTTTACAAAGAAGTGGGATGCCTTGGAGATCAAGTTGGAAGCTCGTTGAAGACTTACAATGTCTTATATGTTTTGCCTAAAGAGGAGGAGTTGAAAGAAGACCATTTGGAGCCTCAAATTATTTTCTTTTAAGTGTATTTATCTTAGGCCTTCTTCAAGGGTAATTTTGTCTTTCATTGACCCTATTTAGACCTGGTGTAAAAGGATATTGATGAGGGTTATTTCCTCTTTAGCTTATTTTGCATAGAGAAAATGGTTTCTAAGGGGCTATGGCTTCCAACTTGTTGATCTAGACTTCCAAGGTGTATTTACTAGGGGAATCATTCCTCTTGAGGGTAATCCTATAGTTTTAGGTTCACTTTGTTTGTAGTTGATAGGTAATTGATTGTTATGAATTGCTTCTGCTTCTCAATTACTTCTTTGTTCGGTCTAATAAAAAATTTATTGCTTGCCTTTATTTGGTTGTTTTTCCGCATTAAAATTCCTACCTGAACTCCATTACAGAATTTTATACTAACACCAAAGACTATTAGATAAATGTGATATTAAGTTAACAGATTCCTCCCGGGCATTATGCTACTATCTTTACTTGTGCATGAACAGCTTTCTAAATTCTAATCACACTTGAGCAACCGACAGTTTAATGTGAGAAATGTTGGCCCAGGTAACCTAAATTCCTAGCTCCGTTTTTGATTCTCGAGTTCCCGTACTAAAAGAATACGCAAGCCTGCGTCAATAAAAGAAACATGAAACACTACAACAACAGCCTAACTAGATCCTCATGTATTGAACAAAACGTAAGAATCTCCACCTACAACATATCTCAAACTTAATCAAGAGAAGAGGGTTCTCCTTTTTCCAGTTTTTCACAGTGACAAAGCAACTGGAGTGTGTTTCCGCTAAGGGAACATATGCAGACACTTCGAGTAGATTGAGAAATAAGACTCTACTCGACAATTATGTGAATTATGGCACAGAATTTCAGTACCTTCAGAAATAAATTCGCTAACAGGTTGACCGGTGGTGATATTATTTTTCAGCTGTTTGTTTTCTGTTTTGCGATCATCTGTATCAGAGGAAGATGAGTCGCCCGATGAGATATCTACCTGCTCACCAAATGGCGCTTCTCTCTCCATAGCTGTAAAATTGCAGTCATTTGGAGAAAATAAAAACAATGCTAGCAGCTTCAACAAACGAAAACTTTGATGAAACTATTTAACTTTAATTGGACGACTCATCTAGGGACGAATGAGTTCAAAAGCCAGTGTGTACTCCCAAGTCCCATAAAGGAAATAAAAAAAATGAATGTAGAATATGAGTTTTGATCCCATATACAAATAAGAGAATAACAAAAAAAATTTAAATCAAGACAGCTCATCAATGAACTGAATGAGCAACTGGCAGAAAGCCATACAATTCTAATCGACCACTATTTTGATTTCCATACATAAAATCCTAGTGTAGAGTCTAATATCCAACCGTCAAAAGTTCATCATGGTTAGCAGATTCAACAAAATTCATGCCATGCTCAGATCATTACTTTTCTCTGCATATATGCTTAATTCATCATAAACTGCATGCTAAAACTAAGAATAGTACGAACTAAAGCCCACTCTAACAAGAGCCCATTCTCTAATAATCAAGAATGTTGCCCATTCTCTAATAATCAAGAATCTTCATAGACAATTAAATTACTCCCTCCATTCCAATTTATATGAACTTGTTTGACTAAGCACGGATTTTAAGAAAAAATGAAGACTTTTGAAATTTGTGGTCCTAAACAAATCAAAAAGGGGCCCAGAGTATTTGTGTGGTTATAAAAGCTTCTCATTAAGGGTATAATTGTAAGTTTAAGCTAAATTGTTACCAAATTTAGAAAGGGGTCATTCTTTTTTGAACGGACCAAAAAGGAAATAGGTTCACATAAACTGGAACAGAGGGAGTAATAATTATTAGATGTATTAGCTTCCAAGTTCGATTGGATAGACATATTTGGATAAGAGGATACCTTCAAAATTGTTTTTTCTATGGATTTAACTTAGACTATCAATCTAAATAACTTGTTATAGTAGGTAACCTATCTTGTTTGTCAGGTTACTAATTCCAGTTTCATGTCCAGTTAATATGTTAGGTACCTAATATAGTAAAATGTATATATAAGATAAAACTTTTTTTCTAAAGATATTCTCTTATTTGGGTAAATAATTAGATTTGAATTGGTTCGAAACTAAAATCCAATGTTCAAATATTAAGGATTTCATAAATGACTTTCACCCTAATCGAAACCCGTAATATCATGATAAGTTGTTCATCCTTTTATCTTCCACTAGTCTCAGGGTACGTGCTTTTGCGTGTGCACCCCATATTAATGAGTAGATAATTTAAATAAAAAAACATAAATATATTGAACAATGTGTTTGAGTTATAAAATAAAAATTAAAGAAAAGGTGTAAATTCCTGAAAATGATAAATACTGATCTCATTTAGTTAGCTCAATAAAAGAAGAAATTCTGCCCTTCGGAAGTCCTCAAATACCTTATTTTGACTTTTGAGGATTTCTGCGGATATTTACCTTAAAATAAACAGGTAACACAAAAATACTTTTACCATGATTCTTCAAAGATTAACCTGAAATTTCTTGTTCATGTCCACTATTGATTCCATCATTTAACTTTGTTGCATTTGATTCAATATATTTGTTCATCCTCCGAATGGCATAAGCAACTTTGCGTTGGTCTATAAAAAGAAAATACTTTTTTTTGATAAAGTATGAGATATTATTAAAAGCATGTTGAAGATGCAAAATAGAGCACTGTACTGGTGCTAAAACAAAAGAGAGTTTGCTAGCACTATTACAGATAATCTTATGCTACGGATTGGGAGCTAACAAAATCCAAAAATGACTCAGGTGAGCTACCAGGGGAGCGATACTCCAGCTACATAACAAAATAAAACAATTAACCTTAAGGGAGTAAGTTGGAGTTGATAATCCATCAAAACACCTTCTATTCCTTTCTGTCCAAATTGTCGAGAATTTAATTTAATTACTGACAATTAACAATATTTTAAAGAACATAATGTGTTAATTAAAAGTAATTCTACCTTGTTGTGCCATCTGTATTTAATGAATAATGGAAAATATCATGCGCCTGCGGAATGCAAAAAACTTGTTAATATTGCATTCAAATTGAATTAAACACATGGAATAGAATTCAGCCAAATTAGAAACATATACTGAGTAAAAATTCTGAACTATATATTAAATGCTAAGTCAGAAAATGTTGCTCCTTATTTTGAAACAAAATCAAAATTTAACCAATCAGTAAGTATCAAGAACAAAAAAACAAATTGGAGCTTATAGTATTAAGAGAATGTTACACCAATCATTTACTATTTTTAGTTTTTTATGAGTTATTGAGTCGTCGTCACCCCGATGGTTTGTGGTGTAGTTGCTGTTTTTGGATTGTTGGTGGTTTTCATTCTTTTCTAAATGATTTATATAAGGTAAAATTTTAGTTTTAAAGTCCTAAATATTAGGACTTCGTACCTAGTTAAGATAAGAAATGATCTAGTAAGAAAAACATTAGTTGTTTATAAATAACAAGTTTGTCTAATGTGAAATCTATCTCTAAAGGGTAAAAAAGTCAATAACATTTCACACATGGTTTTCGTGGTTTTTATAAATGTGGAGAAATAATATACTTGGTTAAAATATTTTGGAAAGTATTTTCTCTGGGAAAACAAGTTACTCTTCCCTATGGAGTAGTAAAAACAAGCTCCATAAATGGCATTCCACACTAATTGTCTCCTCCCCATCCCCCATCGCCCAACAGCCCACCCTACTCCCCATAGTGTTTGCCTCGTGCTAGCAATATTGTCTACTTACTTACCAAACACCAGGATATAATCAAGCTCATTAAGACTATAAATAAACATTATGGTTCGATTCACCAAAATGTATGGATTGCCATTAAAATTCCATTGCTGAAAGGGATAAGGTTTTTTGCTAACTAAAACACATAGAAATGGATTATAAAGAAAAAGCACGCAAGAAATAAAGTTACCAAATTCCGTTAGCGGCAGAGTGATTATGAGCAGCTTAATTAGCGGCAGAGAAGACGAACTTTAGCGACCTGGTAAACAAAATCTTTTGAAAAACTGTTGTTTTACTCTGTTGTTTAAACCAAAAGGGTTCAATTTTATTTAAGGGAGGGGGTATCCAATTATATTATGAATGAACCCGTTAGGTCTTTTGTTTAAATGGCCTCCACATGTCCGTCCGTTAAAAGTACAATTTGTGCCGGGTGTACCTCACTAATAACATGTTTGGCCAAGCTTATTGGATGCATTTTTTTTTCAAAAAAAAATATTTTCTTTTCAAGGTGAAAGTGTTTAGTCAATTTTTTGGAAGAAAAAAATGGTTTTGAGGAAAAACTGAATCAGTTTTGGAGATGCAGAAAAAAGTTACTTCTCTTTAAAAGCACTTTCTTGAAAAGCACTTTTAAGAAAAATACACTTAGAAGTAGTTTTTAAAAAAGCTTGGCCAAATACTAATTACTGCTCAGAAGTGTTTTTCAAATTAATTAGCCAAACACAAATTGTTTCTCACAGGTAGTTTTGAGAAAAACACTTTTGAGAAAAAATATTATAAATCTGGTATTTAATTTTTGTCAAGCATCCTTTAACTTTGTAAGCAAGGTAAATAACCTTTTTACCCTTTCACTCTCCTCTTCTTCTCCGACTCTTCTTCTACACTTCTTCGTAAATGCTCCTAACGCCGTTTTTGTTGTCCACTCGCATAAAATGGTTCGAGGAATACTGGCAGGTTTTCTTTGAGTGACCTTTTTTATGCTCCTACTTTATGTTCATTGGGATTAGTGGTAGCAAATGGGCGGGTTGGATTGAATTAGACAAGTTAAAAATGGATTGAGCAAAAATGATTTGAGTATCAACCCGTCCATATTTTATACGAGTCAAAAACGGGTTGGGTATCAAATGGGTAGGTTGAATGTGACAACCCGACCCGTCATCACATGAGTTACCGCCCCATTTTCCCCATTTCCTGCTTCTTTATGCTTCATTATAAGAGTCTTGTGTGAACGAGTTGATTTGGATTGGTTTTAGAAGGAAATGAGACACTTAGTCTCTTTAAGGAAGGTTTGTTTTGGAAAAGTCAACCGGATGTTGACTTATAAGTTAGAGGGCTCGGATGTGATTTTCGGTGATTCGGTTAGCTTCGGGGGATGATTTGTGACTTAGGACTGTGATCGGAAGTATTGTTGGAGGTCCGGTGTAGAATTAGGCCTGAATTGGCGAAGTTAGTATTTTGGCGAATTCCGGTTGATAGGTGAGATTTTGATCCGAGGGTCGAATGAAATTCCGAGAGTTGTTGTAGCTTCGTTAGGTGATTTGGGATGTGTGCGCAAAATTTCAGGTCATTCGGAGGTGTTTTGGTCGGGTTTTTGATCGAATGCGTATTTCGGAAGTTTTAGAAGAACTTAGGCTTGAATCCGATGTAATTTGATGGTTTTGGTGTTGTTTGTGGTGTTTTGATGATTGGAGCAAGTTTGAATGGTATTTTAGGATGGATTGGCACTTTTGATTGAAGTCCCGGAGGCCTCGGGGTGATTTCGGATGGCCATCGGGATGAATTTTGGACTTGTTGCATTTCTGAAGTTACTGGTATCTGGTATGTCCGCATCTGCGGAAAAGGGGTCGCAGATGCGGTTCCGCAGATGCGATGATGGGGTCGCAGGTGCGAGAGGTACGAAGAAGGATGAGTTCCACAAATGCGGAAGAGGAGCCGCATCTGCGGTATCGCAGATGCGGTAAAGGACTCGCAGAAGCGAAGGTTGGGAGTAGAGGAATTTCCGCAGGAGCGGATGGTATTTCGCAGATGCGGCATCCGCAGAAGCGGGTTTAGATCGTAGAAGCGGTCCTGGCAAATAGTGTAAGATCTGCAGAAGCGGAGGGAAAGCCGCAGAAGCAGTAACCGCAGGTGCGGTTCATTGATCGCAGATGCGAAAATGTCTGGACAGAAAGGGTTTTAAAGGGTTCATTTTGTTCCGCGAGCTAAGGTATATTTCCACCATTTTTGAGCAAACTTAAGAGCTTTTGGACGGAAATTAAAGGTGATTTCGACTGGGTGTGATTGGAGGTGAGTTCTATGACCTAAATACATGATTTAATGGTAGAATTAACCTAGAAATTTATGAAAATTCATCAAAAAGGGGGGAAAAGCTAGGGCTTAGAATTTGATATTTCAAAGTGGGATTTGATGGGTCATTTGGGCTCGGATTTGGGAGTTCTTGGTATGTATAGACTCGTGGCGAGATAAGGAATCCGATGATATTAAATTTTCTGATTTTCGAGAAGTGGGCCCGGGGCTCGGGTTTTGCAAATTTCGAGAATTTCAATATTTTTCGAGTCTTTTCGATTGGGTTATGTTCCCTTAGCCTATTGTAATGTATTCGTTGTGGTTTTGATCAGATTCGACGCGCGAGGAGGCCGATTTGAGAGGCAAGGGCATAGCGAGCTAGGATTTTGGCCGACTTGAGGTGAGTAATGATAGTAAATGATATCCTGAGGGCTGGAAACCCCGGATTTGCACAACGTAGTGCTATATTGAGGTGAAACACGCGCTTCATGACGGGCGCGGGGTTGTTTACTACTGGGGATTGTTACTTGGTCCGTCCCGTTGATATTTTACCGCGTATTTAAATAGGACATGTTTATTATCATCATGATTTGGGCCTATTGCCATATTTTGGGCTTCATGCCGACTACTTGAATCCTTCGTGGATTTTATCACTGTTTCCTCACTATTTGATATACTACTTGAACTCAGTCCTGTTGATTATACTGTTTTACAAACTTAGCTGCTTTAAATGAACTTTGAGACTTAAATGATATTTCCACTGTTTTGTTTGGGCTGAGCCCTACCATTTTATTGATGCCCGAGGGGCTTATGATGTTTTCTGGACTGAGTGAGGCCGAGGGCCATATGTGAGGAGGCTTTCAGGCCTTGAGTGTGATGTGAGAAGGCTTTCAGGCCTTGAGTGTGATGTGAGAAGGCTTTCAGGCC